CCCAGGAGACCTGGCAGCTATTGCCACATAGTGTCCTTTGGCTTTGCTGCCAGCACCTACACTCAACCTGTGCCCCAAATCTCCAGACCTCTGCATTTCATTGCTCCATGAATATCAGTTCTGACCAACCTCTGGGGCTAGAGGTGGGGAGCAGCAAGCAAGAGCTCTGGATGCCACCCCGGGGTCCCCCCTCTCCCTCAGACAGCACACTGTTATTCATCTCAGGTCGCTTTATGTTCTCTGTCCACACTGCAGACCTCCTTCCACGCAGCAGAACCTCTCATCTGACTGTCAGCAGCACTTGTCACCAGCGTGGCCTCTCATCTCCTCCTGGCCAGCCCACCTCCCTGCCTGTCCTGCACAGGGCATCCAGAGGGCTCTCCTACAAAGCAGCCTGGCGCCCCTCACCTGAACCCCCTGGGTCCCCTGTTGCTCTCAGTATGGAACCCAAACTCCTGACCACGGTGTCCCAGGCTCTTTGTGATCTGCCCGGTTTCACCTGTCTCCAAATTTCCCCTTTCCACATTCCCTTCCCGTCTCAACAACTCTATCTCACCCAGTACACACACCCCTAATTTTCCAGTCACACTGAAATACTTGCATTTCCCCCATTATACTCTTTTCTCTTTCTCTTTGCCCTCAAGCACTCGGGAAATACACATCGCCCTTCCTTCTTCCATCCCCACGGCCTAGCCTGAGTGAGTAGCCACCACCTCTCATCAGGATTAAAGCTTAGACATCTCCTCCTCTGAGAAGCCTTCCGAAAGCCCCGCTCCACGGCAGTGGCCCCCTTTTCCCATCTGCTGCAGCTAAGCGGTGGGGCTGCACCTCCCCTGCCCACAGGCCCTTAGCACTGTCTCTCTTCTGCCCCTTTCCCTTGCCTCGCTCAGGGCCCAGCGCTCACTGAGCACTGTAGATGTTGCTGGGGACCCAAAGCACACCTGGCCCGGGGGCAATGTGCAGACGCGATGCCAACAGGAGGTGGCGCTGCGGCCACGTGCATCCGGCCGGGCACCAGCCAGGCTAGAGGGCCCTGCTGTGACCAGCGCGGACTCCTGGATGCTCAGACAGGGTCTTCTGGGGTCAGGGGCGCTCTGTGCAGTGCTGTGATCTCGGTGACACATGTTTGCAGACAGACTCTTGCCCTGGTGCCTTCGTGCAGACTTGAGAAACCCCAAAAGGCGCCCTTCTTCGCCAAGACCCCACCTAAACGACCCTGACTTCAGAAGCCCTGGTTCTTAGTAAACCCTGTGTTTCCTGTGCGGCTTAAATTACGGGACTTAAGTACTCAAATTTCAGATTCTAAGCTATTCAAAGGCAAAGCGGGTGACATGGGTGAAATATATGGTGACAAAAGGAAACTAGACTTCGGATGGGGAGCACACAACAGAGCACACAGACGTTGGATTATAATGGTGTACACCTGAAATTTATATAATGTTATTAACCAATGTTACCCCAATGAATTTAATTTTAGTAAGGGCATTTCAAGTATCATGGTGTGCTGGCGGGGAGAATGTAGAATTGTTTCTGAACACAGCATATTCGACTCCAGGGGTAACTGCTTGTACAGTCACTGGGTAGGGCTGGCTGCAGGAGGCAGAATGATCGACTCTGCTCTCCTATGAGTGGGCACCGTCAGACTGTGCTTTGAAATTCTTTTGCATCACTTCACAAGGTGGTAGAGTTCAAAGACCCTTGCTCGGGAGTCAGAAGCCTGTGTTGGGTGTCAACCTGGACTTACGGCCAAGTTACTTTATCTACCGAAACCTTCATTCCCAAGAGGGTCAAAGGGAGAGTTAGTGCTGGGTGATCGTTCAGGGTCCTGCAGTCCTGACGGTGTGTGACTCGCTTGGATCCACATGGACTGTGGGAGCCCTGCCAGTTGCCTGATTTCTCTGTAACCCAATTTTTTAACCTGTGAAATAGAAATAGCGGTCATAACTAACTCATAGGTTTTCTTTTTTAATTGACATGATGTAAAATTAGCCATTTAAAAATGCATAGTACATTCACAATGTTGTGCAATCACTTATTAAGTTCCAAAACATTTTCATTATTACCAGAGGAAACCCCACACCCACTGAGCAGTCACTCTCCATTGCATCCTCCCCTCATCNTATTAAGTTCCAAAACATTTTCATTATTACCAGAGGAAACCCCACACCCATTGAGCAGTCACTCTCCATTGCCTCCTCCCCTCATCTTGGCAATAACCACTCTGTGTTCTGTCTGTAGGGAATGTCCCTATTTTGAATAGTTCATATAAATGAAACTATATAATACGTAACATCTTGTGTCTGGCTTCTTTCACTTAGCACAATGTTTTTGAGGTCCATCCGTGTCGTAGCATGTATCAGTAGTGCATTCTTTTTCGTGGTTGAATAGTATTCCATTGTATGGATATACCACATTTTGTTCACCCATTCTTCCATGGATAGACATTTGGCCTATTTCTCCTCTTTGGCTATTATGAATGTGTTGCCGTGAACAATGGCGTACGTGTATTTCTTTGAGTCCCTGTTTTCAATTCAACTAGGGTTTTGTGAAGACTGTATACATGCTTACCATGTAGTGGGAGTGCAATAAATGTTAGCAATTAAGGTTGTAATATTATCCTGAGGGTGTGCAAAGAGGCCCACAGAGGTTCTTTCTCTCGCTGTCTCTCTCAGATCTGAGAGCCGGATCTTTTTCTCCCATTTGGGATTTCAATCTATGTCTTTCTCCATCTCCACCTGCCTCCATGCCTGGTGTGGAAAACCAGAGCAGTAGAGTAAGGTGGAAAAGGCAGGCGAGAAGTAGTGGAAACGAGCACATGGAGGGGACTGGGCGGGGACAACCATTGGACAAGTAGCACTGAGCAAAGGGGAAGGGCAGTGAAGACAAGGGCACAAGAAGGAGAAGACCCTGAGGTGCAGTTAGAGAACTAGGAGGGCGTGGTCAGAATGAGGCCGGGCTGGTGCCACTAGCAGAATTGTTGGGGGCAGGAAGTNCAAGGGCACAAGAAGGAGAAGACCCTGAGGTGCAGTTAGAGAACTAGGAGGGCGTGGTCAGAATGAGGCCGGGCTGGTGCCACTAGCAGAATGGTTGGGGGCAGGAAGTATCACAGGCAAGGACAAGTGAAGGCGCAGGGGGTGGCTGGGTGGGTGAAGTGGTGGTCTTGTTGGTCTTGTAAAAGAACGCGGGATCTGCTTGCAGCTGAGGGATTCTGCGGGGTTGGCGTTAGGGCTGGAAGCTGGGGACAAGCTCTGGGAGCTGTCAGCTTGGGATCAGGTTTTAAGAAAGTTAATGCTGCCAGGAAGGCGGGCCACAGGTGTGCTTATTGGGTGTTTGTTTGGAACCTGCTCTTTGGACATGCCTGGCAGGAGGGGAGGGAGGGCTCTCAGCCGTGTGTGTGACCACCCAGAGCCCCAGGAACCTCTGCCCTCGGTGCTGGAGGAAGGAAGGAAGGCTCCGTTGGCTTTAGGCAGAGCAAAACAGCTGGAACAGAACAGGCAGAGGCCTTCTCTTGGCCTGGCACCCTTGAGAACTGAGAATAATTACTTCTGTCTTCACCTATAGGATGGGAATCAGAAAAAGGGGCCAAGAGGGAGGGAGCCCGGCACTTGGTTTTGGGGAAGGGCTTTAGGAAATGCAGTCAAGCATATGCATCCCTGAATTACCTATTCTTGCCTGTTTTCTGTCTGAGATTCCCTCTCTAAGGTTAAATAATGAGACCTTATGGGTTGTATTGGAGGGAAACAGCCATAGAGGACACAAGTCCCATCCTTATGTGGCTCTCAGGGGAGGTGCCAGCACTTGGCCGGCAGAGGAGCCCTTGAATCCAAGGAGGATCCATTCTAACACCGCTTTTCTGTACCTGGAATGCTGTTCTCTGTATACTAATCAATCTCTCTTGCTCTTTTCATTCACAACTCACACTAAAAAGAAATATCTAGAATGCTCCATTTACTGAGGCAGTGGGCTCATATAAAGATGGGTGATTTTTGGAGCAGGAATGGAACTTCAAAATCACCAAATGAATCCTTCTGTTTAACAGAGGAGGAGGAATCAGAGGGCCTGAGATTCATGCCTGGGAGCCTTTGATGAGTCAGGACTAGAACCTGGGTCTCCAGGCTCCAGCCCGTGTTTGCACTGTTGTGCAGGTTCTGGCAACCCCGGCCAACCTGCAGGAGTCTGTACATTGCTCACGGACCCCCAAAGAGCTGGAGCTTCACCACATCCACCCTCCGTCCTACTTCTGAATATTTAAAACACACAAGCCAAACTGTAGAAGAAAATATACATCTACAGGGTGTCCAAAAAAAAGTAGACACACTTTTTATGATAGCTCAATTGATGTTTCTTTCTTTTCAGATTTAACCCATTTAGAATGGATAATTATTCAAAGTGTATCTACATTTTTTTGGGACACCCTGTATTTGTCAGGAGAGAGAGACAGTGTCTATTCACCTTTTTTCTTTCCTGACAACCTAGTTAGGTGTTAAGTGGACATTATTAACCTGTTAATCAAGGAAAACACACTAGTTACTCATAGGAATCATTAAGCCCCAGTGTTGAGAATCTCAGTGAAGACAGAAGCAACAATAATTAATGGTTGGGCCAAATATGGAGTCAAAGGAAAAATGAAGAATTCTAAACAAAAGAATAAAGCATAGAAGGTTGGCTCAAAAAGGGATGAGAAAAATGGGGCTGCTTTGTTATGGTGGTAGGAGGGCTTCAAAAAGGTGAAAACATACTGAGGAGTGGCTGTCTTTTTGAAGCTATTGTCCCAGCTGGAGACATGCGAGGTCCTCAGGACTAGAGAAGTAAGTCATAAATACGACAGGCAGTCGGTAGACCTGAAAATGGGAAATCCTGGGAGGTCTGAGACTGTCCTCAGGAAGCGAATGAGAGAGCGTGCTGGAAGTTTCCTTCTCATCGAGGCTGTGGTCACCCTGTCCACCAGAGGCAGGTGACAAGGCCTGAGCTCCGCTGATGTGCTGTGGCTTCCCTCTCAGATGGCGGGGACAGCGCGCCATGACCGAGAGATGGCAATCCAGGCCAGGAAGAAGCTCAGCACGGCCACCGACCCCATCGAAAGGCTCCGGCTGCAGTGCTTGGCCAGGGGCTCCGCAGGCATCAAAGGACTTGGCAGGTAGGACCCGGGCCTGGGAGTGGCGGGGACATGCGCGAGAAAAGCAGGACACAGCCAGGTGAAGCGAACTCTAGTGTGACCTTGAGCAAGTCTCTTCTTCCTGGGCTCTCAGCTCTGTGCCAACGCAGAGTTGGAAGAACTGAGCTCTGAGGGCCGTTGTGAGCATACTTGGTGCTTAGTCCCCGGTTCAGCCAGGCCGCGTCTGCTGCAGGGCAGGGCGGCTGCTGGGAAAACCTGGGGCGAAGGGAGACGCCTCCAGCCTCACAGACGCTCCTCACTCCCACGCTGGGTGAGCCGCACCCGCACCCACCCGCCCTTAGTGAGATTGCTGTGGACTGTGGCAGTGCAGTTAGATTCACTTGTCGCATCCGGGATCCCCCGACCTCCTAGGTAACTTTTAAAATATTGTCTGCATCCCGGCCGGGTGTGGCTCAGAGGTTAAGCGTCGACCTAGGATCCAGGCGGTCAGGGTTCGATTCCCGGTCAGGGCACATGCCCGGGTTGAGGGCTTGATCAATGACTCTCTCATCATTGATGTTTCTATATCTCTCTCTCCCTCTCCTTTCCTCTCTCTGAAATCAATAAAGATATATTAAAATAAAATATTGTCTGCATTAACGATCCCTCTTTGTCCTGCACATTTTTGGGGAGTTTAGCAAATGCTTAGCACCTGCACTCACCGCTCTATGCCATGCAGGGTGGTTTCAGGGCCGCAGAAACGCCAGTGCTTCCCCTGTTCCCCCGCCTCCCTCATCTCCCTACCATGCTTATCACTTTGGCAGAATGTCACTGAATTGGGATCACACAGTACTTAAGGGGTTTTTTTTTTCATCTTTTTTTCTGCCGGGAAGGGGGCTCTCCGATTTCGGGAAGGGGATTCCGAGGAGAACCAGAGGCTTTTGCGTCTTACCTTGAACACCCCCGGGAGGGGCCTTCCTTTGCAGCCTTCCTGCTTAACCTTGTCCTTTGTGGGCTTTGAAAACCATTTTTGGTGTGTGTTTCCTTCAGAGCGTTTCGAATCATGGATGACAATAACAACCGAACCCTGGATTTCAAGGAGTTCGAGAAAGGCTTGCACGACTACGCCGTGGTCATGGACAGGGACGAGGCCCAGCAGCTCTTCCGCAGGTTCGACAGGGATGGGAGCGGGACCATCGACTACAGCGAGTTCCTCCTCACGCTCAGGGTAAGTGGCGGGCGGGACATTCGCGGGCCGGTGGCTGTCCCGAGGTTTGGGGGACAGAGGACAGGCCCAGGGCCTGAGGAGCGAGCTCAGTGCGCATCGTTTGATGGCACCGAACAACTGCAGGTCCTTGAGGGGAGGAAGACACTTCGTCACCTCGCCTAAGAGGCGGCTCATTTGCTCCTGCACCTCTGTGTGTGTGTGTTTCTGCTTTCTAGCCTCCGATGTCCCGGGCGAGGAAGGAGGTGATCATGCAGGCCTTCCGAAAGCTGGACAAGACCGGCGACGGCGTCATCACCATCGAGGACCTGCGGGGGGTGTACAACGTCAAACACCACCCCAAGTACCAGAACGGAGAGTGGTCGGAGGAGCAAGTGTTCAGGAAGTTTCTGGATAACTTCGATTCGCCCTATGACAAAGATGGACTGGTGAGTAGGAGGGCTCCGTCCCAGGGAAATTTCTTCTGCCCGATTTGTAGTCGTAAATAGATAGGAAATAGGTCCAAAGCCTTAAAAGTATGTATTTTACAGTTATAAATAGGAGTAAAATATTTCCTTAGGGACTATCTAGAAAGTTGAGAACTAAAGCAGTAAAAAAAGTGTGTGTGTGTGTGTGTGCACGTGTGTGTGTGCACGTGTACACATATATCAGTAGGGGATCTGCACACACTAAATCCCCACCACCTGGAGAGCTTGGTATTTTGATTAAACATCCCATTTCATGGTTGCCATATTTACCATACACAGCTGGCCACTTTCCGACAAATTGGACTATAATAAAACATATTTGACTTCAAAATGAGACCATAATTCCATTTTTGGAACATGATCCATAGGGCATTTCAGGGCATTGCTGCCTTTTTCACATGTTCTCATTTGTCATCACACTGTGCTCTGCGGAAATGCCATTTAAGGGACGTTCTCAGTGAAAGGAATGCCAGATAACGGATTTACCCTGATTTAATCTTTAGTAGGCTTTGAGATTAACTTGCATTTCCAAAGCATAGTACACTTCAAGCTCCATGAAATGAGACAGTCAGAGAAAGACAAGTGCCCCATGATCTCACTCATATGTGGAATCTAATGAGCAAAACAAACTGACAAAGTAGAAAGCGACTCATAGACACAGAGAACAGACTGAGGGCTGTCAGAGAGGAGGGGGCTTGGGAGCTGGGTGACAAAGGTGAAGGGATTAAGCAAAACCAAAAACACCCTCAGAGACCCAGACAACAGCAGGGTGATTGCCAGAGGGAAAGGGGTGGGGCAGGTAAAGGAGGGAATAAGTGGTGGTGGAAGGAGGCTTGACTTCAGGTGGTGAACACACAATACAATGTACAGATGATGTGTCATAGAGTTGTACCCCTGAAACCTACATAATTGTATTAACCAATGTCACCTTAATAAATTAAAAATAGAAGAAGAAAAGAAGAGACAAAAGCAACTACCCCCTCTCCGGTAACTGTTATCTCCAAGGTACAAAGGCTTAGCTGGTAGGGTCCGGAATTATATCTTTATAATTACAGTTAGACAGAGACCAAAATGTCATGTGTCTTATCCACAGCCGTGAACGGGACTTTTGGGCCCAGGACCAGTTCTGCTCTTAGGTGTCCTGAAGGCTGTGGTGATGGGGGAAGGGTGTTCTTTTCTGGGTTGATAGTCAGCAGAGGCAGAATCCTGGGGAGACCCCCCCACCCCTGTGCCACACAAGAAGGATTAGTGGGGGGGGGGCGGGAAGAAGAGATGGTGGTGAGAGGAAGAGGAAACACGCCTCCCCCTTCCTGGGGAATATCCCCCAACTTTTTCCATGAAACTTCATGGTGTGCCCTGTGAGCAGGAGAGCAAGGAGAACTTTCTTTTATTTCTAGCTGCCGGGGGCAGAGACATGTTCTCCACTTTAGACTGAAGGGATTGCAGAGGTAGATTGAAAAAAAGGGGGTGGGTGGAGCTGTGGTGCATTTACATAGCATGGAATACTATGCAGCTGCGAAAAAGAAGGATTTCTTACCCTTTGGGTCAACATGGGTGGACCTGGAGAGTATTATGCTGAGGGAAATAAGTCAGTCAGAGGAAGACAAACATCACATGATCTCAATCATATGTGAGAATCTAAAGAACAAAATAAACTGATGAACAAAAAAGATCCAGAGACACAGAAGCATGGATCAGACTGAGGGATCTCAGAGGGAAGGGGGGTGGGGGAGTGGGCGGGGAGAGATGAATTAAAGAACTTCTGTGCCTATATGCATAAGCCATGGACACAGACGGTAGTGTGGAGAAGCCCTGGGAGGGGGACAGACGGGGGGTGGAGGAGATCAATGGGGGGAAAAGGGGACATCTGTAATACCTATAACAATAAAGATAAATTTTTAAAAAGTTTAAAAAAATTTTTAAAAAGGGGAGGTGTCCCAGATTCCGCAGAGCATCCAAATGCTTAGGGACAGAAATAACGGAACTCTGTGTTTTCTTCTAATATCTCTGGTCTTTGATCTGTGAGATGGCAGTGGAAACATAGTCAACTGCCATTTCCCCAAATTAGCCCAAGGCTGCATGGATCTCAGGCCGTGTTTGCCTCCTTTCTGCAGGTGGTTCCTCCTCGCTGCCAGGGGGAAACCTCAGCTGCCCTCTGCTTTAACCCAAGTCTCTGGAGCCAGTTGTTGTGATTCAGCTGATTTGAAGTTCCCACCCCTGTCCCTCTTGACATTTATCTTAACAGGCCATGTGAAGCTCGGAAGGATCGTTGGGGATCTAGCAGTGACAGCATTTACTATCACAGACGGAGTATCACAGGCTCTGTATTGACATTCAGCTCTAACTGGGCATGATCGTCATTTGGGGTTTGTATTAACAATGCAGATTGCTGGCTGCACCACAAAACTACAGAATCTGAGTTTTTGGGTGGTGGAGCGCAAGGATGTACAGTTTTAATAAGTGCCCCAGATGACTCTTATTCACATTCATAGTTGAGATTCTTGTCTCTAAAAGATTCTGAAGTGCCTGTGTTTAATTACTAAATATAATATACACATTAACCTCAATTAGCATAATCATGGATCTGGGCACCATTTATTGAGCACTTACTATCTACTGGTCATCATGTTAAGGGCTTTACAGGGATGTCTCACTTAATAGACATAATGAAAGTGTTTCTGAAAAGTAACGTGGGATTTAAACTTTTGTACGTTGAATCCTACTTTAAATGCGTAGGGATCTATTGCTGCCGAGGAACTCCATGGTAAATTCTTTTATAAAGGGAATAATTAGCCCCTAATTTATCTTTTTCGAATTGAGTTGATTTAATACATTAAGACTTCTTGCGGTAAAGTTATAGTTACGCTCGAAGCCAGTGCTCTCATTTATCCTTAAAAATATAGTTGGTATCCAAATAAGACAGAATTTAGAATGAGACAAGAAAGTTAGCATACTCCTTAGCCAAGACGGATGTTCGAGTTTGTGAACTTTTAGTAATTTAGGCTTAGCTCTCGTGGAGCGTGAGGTCACCGGGGCTTGCAGCAGTCACGGGGTGATGTCATAGGCCCTGCGGGGCTTGCAGCAGTCACAGGGTGATGTCATAGGCCCTTCGGGGTTTGCAGCAGTCACGGGGTGATGTCATAGGCCCTGCACTCACCCCCGCACTCGGCTCTCAGGGCAGCCAGGGCACCAGGAGCCTTTTGTACGGAGATAGAAAGCAACCGAATAATGTGTGAAGCAGACCGTCCTCACTTGGGTTCTATCCCCAAACCCCACCCTGACTGGGGGACACTTCCATTTCTTATTTTTGAAATATCTAAGTTTTGAAATTTTCATGTGTATATGTTAGAAGTATAAGTATTTTTTTAAAAATCTCTTAGGACTGTATTAGCCTTTGAGGGACTATAAGTCTATCTCACATTGAAATTTCTCGTAATGAAAAACGCTTTCAGTATGCTATAGAGCGTATGTGGACAACCAGACTTGCCCTGTGATCTCCCCAGTCAGGCTGCCATGGTTAACGAGACACGCGTTTCTCTACCCACCCTTCAGAGCCCCAGGCTGTGAGAGGAAAGCGTCACTCACCCTGAACAAGGACTGAGATGCTGCTTCTGGCGTGTCGCAGGGAGAGTGCTCACTGCCGCTACGAAACCCTGGCTCTCTCTGAGTTTCAGACCCACGCATCTGAACGGATGGGCCTCTGCCGGCCCAGAGAGCGAACCTGTGTCTCACTTTCCATTTAGCTTGCTGGTCTGGAAACTTCTTCCCCCTGCCACCTCTCACCGCCACCCTAACTTCACTTTTTTGTTCTAGATCTGTTCCTCAGCCACGGCCACGAAAACGCCCTTGACTGAAATGTCCTTTCACTCGCAGGTACTGGAGATAGGCCCTCACCGAGCTGGGGAGAAGCCGAGTTTCGTTTTTGTTTCTAACTCTTCCCCTGCAGGTGACCCCCGAGGAGTTTATGAACTACTATGCGGGGGTGAGCGCGTCCATCGACACCGACGTGTATTTCATCGTCATGATGAGGACCGCCTGGAAACTCTAAATGTATGAACTGGGGACCAGGGCCCTGAATACACTCTCCTGGCTCCAAATGATTAAACATCAGCTCAAAACCAGGATCATATTTGGGTGCAGGTTCAGCCCAGTGTTGCTCCCATGTCAACAGCGTCTATCTCAAAAATCCTATATGAGATAGGCTTATATTCTCTATTCCTAGGGCAGAAATAAAGACATGAAGTAGTTAATTATAATTTAACTTCTCTGGACCTGTTTCCTTAGCTCTAAAGTAGAAATTAATTGAAATAAAACCCGGAAAGCTCCTAGGGCCAGATTGATATGCACAGGTGTCTAATCAACATTAGATATCTTCCTTAGCCAGTAAAAAAAGTTGGAATATTTAAATTATAACCCCACCCATGCACCTACAGTCTTTCTTTACCTCCTTTCAGAAGGTTCATTTCTAGGTGGGAGGATTCATCTGTTTTTACGACTGTAAATGTTTAAGTGCTTTAGTCCCAGTTTGAGGACCAGAAGGAGACCACACGTTGGTCTAAATTCCTATAATGAAATCTTGAGTTTCTCTGCCCACGGTTTAGGAAACCTCAGGTGAGTAGATTTAAAATAACACTTTGAGGTCATTGTAAAAGGCGGTGTGAGACCGGAGGCTGTTTCCTTTAGCAACTGGGCCAGGACTATTCACAGTGCTTCTGTGGTTTGAGGCTGTGCTGTGCTCTCCAATGTTATGTGGGACGCCCTGCCCTACAAGCATGCAGACCGTGTCAACGAGCCTTCACCCGGTGGAATGTTCCTCTCTCTTCTTCTGTTGATCAACAATGTTCCCACCAGCAGAGGGGGGTTGGTGTGACATAGACTAGGATTGCAGGCCTGCTCCAAAGCAAGCTGTCCATCTTGACACTTCATGGTCTCCTCCCAGCTCTAAGCCTCGGCTTTATGTTGTTAATGTGTGAGGAGCTCCCTAGGAAAGACTTCTTAGCAAAGGCAGGCCCAGCTCCTGGAAAACAGATGTGAAACTACAGCCCTCGCTCTGTGTTCTGTGTCTGGGCCAGAGATAAACTCACGGTGACTAGCCAGCCCTCTGGCTATGGTGTTGGATATAATGACCAGTCCACCTTGTTCCTTGGGGACAGTTTCCTTCTTATTACCTCTGGCCCTGGCTGTACTCATCCCTTGGTTTGGGGACATAGGTTGGGACAATGATATTATTTAAGATCTTGTATCTTTGAGTGACTCTGGATTGAGGGTCTGAACATAATTGCCATGTTTTGTATCAATTCACTTGTTTACTTTTTATTTCTCAGACTTAGAAGTTGAGATCAGGATATACACTGACCTAAAAATGGTGAAACTAGATGTTTTCAGAGGTGAATTATAGCAGTCATTAAAGGGGACACCTTCAATGACTTTTTATTGAGAATCTAAACTCTCACCCTCATCACAGGCTGGAAAAGGGACCTCCCCAAAGAAGGTAGCTATTTTGGAAATTAATTACTCAAGTCTGGTTTTCCATTGGGTTTATTACCTAGGCTTCTATAGAGGTTGGCAGGCAGAAGATGCCAAGTGTTACGAGGGAATATACAGAAACGATGTAGAAATGCAGAAGAAACGAAGAAGAAACATGTAGAAGAGATTTCCATGTTCTCTGCAGCCTGCACCTTGCAGATTGTGGCTAGAGGTCCCCAGTTTCCTGGACACAGTAGATCTCCAGCCTACTGCTCTAGATAGATTCCTTTCTTTGATTACAGGTATGACTCATGCCTCGGCTTAACTGGGGCTGTAGGTTAGCATGTGATTCTGAACCAGGACTGGGTTGCAGCTATCAGCTTCGTCTTCCCCAGCTGTACTGTGCTTCCTGTCGAATGGGGGCACAGGGCACAACTATCAGATTTTAGATAACCCCTGCCTCACAGTGTATTTGGTCACATTCGGTCACCTCCCTCCTAGCAGATTTGGTCTGAGCCCAGAAGCAAGGCTTCCACCAAGGCCCTCTCGCCCTCCGTAGGGTAGGCAGGATCTAACAGCCCTGTGGTCAGGGATCACGCCCCTCCTATTCCGAGTCTCATCTGCGATTTCTGGCCAAGTGGGGGAGAGACAGAGAAAGGTGATTAGAAGTCATTTGTCCATAGTCCTCTGGATATAATTTCTTTTTATTTAACTTACACAATTTAAACATTATTCCATTTTCAATTTAAAAAGTAAACTCTTAGGCCTGGACCCAAGATAGGAATTAAACAAAGAAAAAACAACAACAACAACAAAGAGCATGAAAATAGCAGGTTTTTATGAAACAGGAACAATGTATGTAAAAATCCTGGGGGTCAGGTTTGGTCAGGACAAGGCACCGATAGCAGTATTGAATCTGGGCTCCAAATATCCCCAAGAACAGAGGGGAGCCTGCCTCAGCCTTTGGTTCACATCCTGCGCCTGTTCCACTCACAGTGCGCGTGAGAAACCTAAATGCCGCTGAGGCGCATCGTAGACAAAGGCGGGATTCCTCCAGCGGGTCCCTGGGGCTGGTTTTCACAGACATTCAAACCTGGGTAGATTCCCTCCCAGACCCAGGTGGCACTTTGGAGGATGGTGTGGGGCTCTTTGTGACCTGATGGCAGGCGTGGGGTCATGTTTCACACCTAATAGCAGCTGTGAAGGCTGGGCTGGGCCCCTCCAAGTAAACTGCAGAATGAACTAGAATGAATGCAAACAAAACCGCTGGCTTCAAACCAAACGAACAGCCCATGGTTCGCTAAGTGATCGGAGAGGTGGAAAAGTGTGGGCGCTGAAACTCCCCTCTCTGAGTCTCATTCGGATTCTGGAGCCTGGAGAGCTGAGCTCTTGGCGTGGCAGAGTGCTGGGGAACGTGCAATACACTCGTGGAAGGTACACAATCTATCTAGACATGGCAAGAAAAGCCCCTCTCTGTTCCTGGAGGCAGGTAATTGGCCCTTCACGTCTCTTGGCCAATGGAGATGCTTCACTGAACCACAGGGGTAGGAGCGGGTGGGTAATGATTCAGCCCTCACCGGGCTACCTGCTGATGTTTAATCAAGAGGAGAGATGAAATTAGCCAGTGTGTTCTTGGATAGTGTGTGGGTGCCTTCTCTACTCCTTCATGAAATTCTACTGACACCCCCTGAGTAGTATACCTTTCTGGATTTATGCATCTCTTTGGGGCATAGAATGAAAAACCTCACAAGTTCCAGCTTCCAAGATTAGTCAACAAACTTGCTTTCCTGGAAACTCTAGGCTGTTCTTCTAAATTAAGACCTTGTTGAAAGAAGCAGCAGCTTTTCAGATTTTAGAAATGGTTATGACTCAAGGAAAAACTAAGATGCCGCGGATCTGATAGATGGTCCTATAACGTTATTTATATGTAACCGATCCTTTTGAAAGTCAACATCTCCAGGCCTGGTTTGACTTCTCCAAGTCGTTTACATGAAAACTGCATGGCGCTGACGGAGATGGCTAGTTCTTTTATTGTGATAAAAAACACCTCGCTAAGTGAATCTCCTAAAATTAAGTGTTCTAAAACAGATGCGGGTGGAATCTGTTGAGAGGAACCTAAACAAATGATTGATGGGGCCCTGAGAACGCGGCTGTGTGAGAAGCACTGGCGCTGCCCTCCCAGGGGTGCGGTGAGAGGCTGTGGTGAAACAGCCCTTCCTCTCTGAGAATAGCATGGCTGCTTGTTTCATTCTCACACCTGCTTTGCCAAAGCCAGCGCTGTCCCTCAGCAGAGCAGGGTGGAGGGTGCTCTTTGGGAGTGAAGCCCCTGACAACACGGGAAGCCAGCCAGGAGCCGAGGTTTTACACGGGACCTTGCAGCCACCAGAAAGGTGTATTGCATCAGGGAAAGAAAATCTCAACATGGAATGGCCTCTTTCTTTTGTTCTAGATTCTTCTCCCTACTCATCGTAAATGGAATGTATTTCTTTATGATTTCTCTGGAGTATTATGCAAATCTTAACAGCAGTTTTGGTTTCGCCCAAGTTCTTGTGAGCACCAGCTCTTGCTTCCAACACTGGACCAGTGGCAAGCAGCTCAAACGTGCCAAGGGCCATTTACCTGTTCATGTAACTGTCATTCATCTCCAGTTTCCTTCCACTTTGACCTCGTAGTAAACTCATGAGGGACCCAGAGCTTCAGCTGGAAGCTGTAATGATCACAGTTGGTGATCCTGTCATTACAAGACTCGAGTAAGTTTTTCTTTACTGACCTTAACACTTGGCACTCGGGAGACTGGTGTTGATTCTGGGAACTTCTTATCTTGAACTTGAAAGGTCTGAGTTGCTGGTCTCCTAGAAACGCTCAGGCCACCTGCAGAACTGATGGTAATCTGTGCTCTGAGAGAGGCTTCCAACAGAATGGGGACCTGCAATCGAGAGACGATGACAGGTGGCTGAGTGGCTGCTTCTTCCAGGGTTACAGTGAGCCTCAGCCGGTCTCCACCTTGATGGGATAAAGTGCTATAGAAACGCAGGCCATTATCAAATGTCAGGCATTACCTAAGCAAACCCAGATCATTCCTTTAGTTTCCAAGGAAACTGGGAAATAAAACATCGTTCTACGAGCTTCATACTTTGTCATACCTAAAATCTCATTTAGCATTATCATTTGACATCCATTTACCGGTCTTAGAAGCTGCAGAGTGAGTATAGTTAATTATCATTAATCCAGGCTCCGCTAACTGAGCTCATTTAGATAGAGTTTGAGTGAAAATTTAGTTTTGTTTCATCTATACTAAAAAAAGGGGAGAAGGTTGTCAGGAACTTAAAAAGAATTATGAGGGCTATGCCTAACTACATTCATATGTGTTTTATAGATACACGGAGATATTTATTTGCATATAAATGTAATTAGTATGCTAGTCCTAAAAATTTCCCACATGCTCTTTAAATGTGGGAGAGAAACGTTGATCAGTTGCCTTCCATATGGGCCCTGGCCTGGGATCGAACTCATAACCCAGGTATGTGTCCTGACCAGGGAATTGAACTGGCAACCTTTTGGTGCACAGGACGACCCTCAGCCAACTGAGCCACTCTAGCTGGGCTCTTGATAGTATTTTAAAATAGAAATTGAATAGAAATTATGCTAAAAAATGTTAAAACAGAATTTCCAAGATATCTACTACATAGATTTTTAAATAGTTTGTTTAAAAAGCTATACATGGCT